GAATACCCGCCCACATGCAAAAACAAAACTGAAACCTTTTTCTTTTCTCGTGACAATAGCACCTCCTAAAGGAAGAAATGCATCTTGTTCTTGCATTGGAGAGTTCAGTTTGTAACCTAGGACTTGCTTGTCCTCAGTGCACAGAAATTAGATCAATCTGATACCATATATATATATATATATTAGAAATGATTTGGAAAATATTGGAACACCTGGTCTTAAAATATTTTATTCATCATGTTAAAATAAAACGTTCCATAATCAATTTCTTTTCTTTTTTCAATTTTTCGGAAAAAAACGTTTTTTTTCTGAATGTTTCCGGTTTTTCCCGGGCCTTCACATCTCTACACCCACCATGCGGAGTGGCCTGCCTGGGGAGATCAGGAAGGCCTCCTCCGCACCTCTGCCCTGCCACGGAATGTTCAAAACAGAACTGTTCCAGGGGGTATTTTTTTATCAATGGATTAGAACTGCAGTACAATGGAACAGCTCATGAGGTCACTTTTATAAAGGAACAGGGTGGTCGTCCATCACAAGATTGACTGCATGGGCCGCCTTACTGTCACTGCATCATCATCTTCTGCCTTTGTAACCCATTTTCTGCGTCACAGCGTGTCCTCAGACAGGTTGGTTTTTTTCGGTATCGTTTTCTAATTCTGTACTCCCAGCCTTTCCACATTGTACACTGAATGTCTTACGCTGCCTGATTTCTCTGTATAGATAGAATTTGTAGTCCACCTCAGTGAGAAAGGAGGGTGGCAAAAGAAGTAAATAAATACAAAAAAGATAAAGGTCAGGTCAGTTACCTACGAGCCTTTCAGCAAACATGGCTGAAACCTTGCCTTCGCACGTGAAGACAAAACTACGCCGCTCACCAGCCAAGAGGTTCACCAGTTGAGAGCAAACTGCGTGGTACCACGGATTGCCCCAAATGCCCGCTCGGCCCCCACCCCCGCCTCTCCTCACCATGAGAGACAGCCGACTGCTCTGGCACATTGATGACGATCTCTTTGAGGCTTTGCACGTAGCGGATGCGATCCAGAAATGGGATGAGGAAGTTCAGTCCCTGGCAAGGATAAGGAAGAAGAAACGGCCTAAGAACCGCACCATCGCACCTGCCCCTTCTGTTTCGATACACGGGAATGGAAGTCCCTACGCTGGTGCTCTGCGAAGTCAGGCCGGCTTCCAGGCATTCAGGATCAGTCCACGAGCAGGAAATTTCCCCCCCTCCAACTGAGCAATAGCATGGGACGTGGCAGCAAAGGAAAGCCAGCACAGTACCGTGGTTAAGATGGCTCTAATCTGGGAGAACCAGGTTTGATTCCCCACTACTCCACATGCAGCTGCTGGTGTGACCTTGGGTCAGTCACAAGTTCTCTCAGAGCTGCTCTCTTAAGGGCAGTCCTCGAAAGAGCTCTCTCAGCCCCACCTACCCCACAGGGTGTCTCTTGTGGGGCGGGAAACAGAGATTGTAAACTGTTCTGAGACCCCAAGTGAAGGGCGGGGTGTAACTCCAATCTCTTCTTCTTCTTCTAAAAGGTGTTTCTCTCAACAAGAATCAGGAAAGCTCCCAGCTAGGATAGCTTCCATCTCCCATGGGAGAACCTCGTAGCCGAGTTCGTTTCCTCCTTGCTCAGAAGTTTGGAAGGACTTACCCCCAATCATGCATGCAAGGGACTGCAGCTTTGGAATTCTGTAAATAACACTGCAGCCCTTGCTGCTATGAACGTTCATTAGCAGCCACACAGAGCAGTCAAAAACACCTTCATTTGTCAGCAGAAAGCATATCTCACCTCTCCCACTGATAATTCAGTTTGGCCCAGGAAGGGGTCACCGGCACCCAAAAAGCGGGAAAGGCCTGCCTTGAATAACTCGCAAAACTCAAGAAAAGGACGGTGGCCATTTCCCAAGCACTGCCTGGACATCTCCTCTACCTGTGTTTGGGAACCCCATTTGTGTACCCAGCCAGGGCTTACAATCAATGTTCCCTCTAAGCTGTGAAGTCTTGTGAACAAAAATTCGACCTTGTTTTTCTCTCTCTCTGTTTGGGCATGCGCACAGGCAGCCATCTGTAGAACTAAAATTTCCGTGCGTGCGCAAAACAGTGATTTCCACTTCAGCCCAACTGCTGTAACATTTCCCTTTAAACGTTTACCCCGAAAATGGCCTCCGTGAGATCCCAAACTCGTCTAAACACTAAAACTAGGCACCATTTTAAACATTGTTTTTAATAACACGGTGGCAGACCTCCGCCTATGCGCACATCGCCAACGCTTTAAAAAAATGGTGGGTGAAAACCAGAAGCCTCGGGCAGCTTTCGAGCGGGGAGGGGGTTTAAACCGGAAGTGGCTCGACACCGCAGGAGCGATCAGACGACAGAAAAGTGCGGCTGGAACTGGAGAATCAGGAAAACACCACTTTGGGACCTTTTAACGTCGGCGATATGCGCTTGGGTGGAGCTTTGCCCCGGCGTTAATAAAACCAAAGTTTAAACAGTGCCTAGTTTTAGCCTTTAGACAAGTCAGGGACCTCACGGAGACCAGGTCCCCAAGTGGTGTTTTCCTGCTGCTCCAGTGCCAGCCGCATTTTCCCCCTGTGTGATTGCAGCTCCTTCAGTGATTGCAGCTCCCCTGTGTGATTGCAGCCACTTCCTGTTCCCTGCTCGAAAACTGCCCGAGGCTTCTGCTTTCGTCTGTCATTAAAAAAAAAAAAATTAGCGTCCGCAATATGCGCTTGGGTGGAGCTTCGCCCCGGCGTTAATAAAACCAAAGTTTAAACAGTGCTTAGTTTTAGCCTTTCCACGAGTACGGGACCTCACGGAGGCCAGTTTCGGTTTAAAAGTTTAAAGGGAAGTGTTCGCTTCAGGGCATGCTTTGGCAGGATACATTGTTCTGCGCATGCGCAAACTGTGAAAAAAACGGGGGGGAACGCTGACCCGCGCTATCCGGCCAGAACCGGAGCAGCTTAAACCGCTTCCGCACGTAGTCTGTGATGTATTCAATTGCTGCCATTGTAATACATGACTGTATGTGAAACACCTAATTGAAGTTCCATGTCAAGCTTCATCCTGGACTAGGATCCTAAACCCTCCAATCGGTAGCCCAGGAAGAACAGACCAATCATGTGCCATCAAGCGCCCTGGGCGGAACCGTCTGTGATTGGACTTTATGTATACAATCTTATTGGTTGGTATTGTATAGTAGGGCGTGGCTACATTAGCCGGGAGTTTAAAAGTGGAACAGCTGCAATGTAAAGGCTGTTCTGGCTTGGAGTTGTGTTATGAGTTGTTGAATAAAGCTGGATCCTCTCTGAATCTCTCTCCGACCACTTTGTTAAGCAAGCGACTTAACACAGTCTGATCGCACCAGTTGACCGTGTGATCGCTGCAGATAAAATCCGTTTCTGAGGCGGGCCGAAAGCGGACTAAAGGGCTGGTCTGACCCCCCCCCCTCCTCCCACACGCTCCGTCACCAGCCAATCAATCACGCCACGCTTGTCGCCCTCCGGACCTTACTGCAGGCACAGGAAGCATTTTAAGAAAGAAAGACGCCCACGTACACAGACCCCCCCCCCCCCCCCAGCAAGGGAGACGGGG